CATCACCTCCCTCCTCGGCCTTGAAACCACCCTGCTACTCTCTGCGCTGCCACTGTCCTCCTTCACTGAGGGGGCCTGTGCTGCAGCCTCGCCTTTCCTCCTTTGTATGGTGATTTCCCAGGATACCCGAAGAGCGCTTGCGGAAGACACCAGTGGCCCGCTTACTGGTAATTAAATGAGGCTTTTCTCCAGGCTTTCGACTGAGCTGCTTCTGAGACAGTCATCTCAGCCCCTCTTCTCCATCTCTGGTCTTGGAGACATGTGCTCCCGCCGTGTGTCTGTCTTGCTGTTCATTGCCTGTTCTCCCGACCTGGTGAGTCTGCTGCTTCTCGAAGACGTGGTCTGGGTCCTCTGCTCACTTTGCTTTAGCTTCATTCTTCCTTGGGGTTCGGGGCCTCTCCGTCCTCGGTCCCACCACAAGCTCTGGCCTACGGCTCCTAACTTCCCTCTTACCCACCTGCTCCTTCCCTGCTGCCAGCCTCACTTCTCCCAGCCCGGTTCCCTCCCTTTTCCTGGCGCTCTCTGTCCAACCTACACCGCGCCACTAACTACACTTAATAATAGCTTTGTCTTGACTCTGCTGTGGTTTCATGTTCAGAACCTGTTCTCCAGGGATCCTGCCTTTTACTTGGATTTTCTAAACTCCGCCCTGTCCGAGGGGAGGAGGGAGCTGACAGCCGGCCTGCACTGGAAAGACCGGGGCCTTGGGCGGGTTTAGCCCTCGCTGCTTTGAAAGTGCCTGTCGAGCAGCTGCCTCCTTGGGCGCCCTGTGAGCGCCTCTGGGATAAACTGCCCAAACCCTACCCAGGGACGTGTGACAGGCCTCGGCCTCTTGGTAGCGTGGGAAGCCCTCACCTGCTTGGAGGGCCAGACTGTACCGCAGGGGGTGTGGACAAGAGAGCAGAGTAGAGGTCGCCACGTCCTCTGTATAGCTGCCCGAGGGCCACGGGGGTTCCTTCAGCCCTGTGGGGCTGGTGGGGAAGGCCTAGATTTCACCAGAGCGCCCATCTATCTTTCTGACTCCTCTCCCCTTCCTGGGGCAGAAAAAGTCATTTATCGGCGCTTTCAGACTTATCCCAGGCTAGAGGAGAGACGTGATGTACCTCCCCTTCCCAGCACCCGCTGCGGTACGTGCCCACCTCTTGCTGATCTCCTCTTCTCTGGCTCTGCCTCCATCCCTTCCCCATGAGCTACATATGTCCTTGCAGCTTGGCTTCCCTAGCAGAGTGGCCGTGCAGCTGGGTCTGGCCAGGGGCCAGCAGCTCCTGCCCCCTGCCCTCAGCGGCATGCCCCTGTGGCTCAGAGCAGTACAGGCAGACGTGGCTGGGCCGCGGCCTGGGCGCGGGATCGCGCTGTGGCTCTCGAGGGCTGCCCGCCCGCCTGGCCTGCCCCTCGGCCTCCCGGTATGCGCACTCTTGTCGTCTAGAGCAGGGGCTTGCAGTCAGGACTCAGCAAGCCTGTGGGGTCTCTTCCGGCCATTACAGCACGGGGCTAAGCTACTGGCATTTGGGCAGGGGCAGGGTGGGCTGCGGGAGCCGTCACAGTCCATGTAAGGGCCGTGTCAGTGGGCCCAGTCCTTTCCGCAGCCCGTCCTGCGGCCGGGCCTTAATGTCCATCGGGGCCAGGGCTTGGCTTGCTCTTGATGTCTTGAAGGTTTGTTCAGTAGTTTGTTCTGCTCCCTTTGGCTATAGATCTGCTTGGTTGCCTCTCATCCTTTCTGAAGGCTCATTGGGACAGACCCGCTGCTTGAATTCCTTGGGAAAATGGGGTGCCTCGCGGCCTTTCCCCCAGCTTCCCATGTGCTTTGGGCTGCCTGTCCTGATCTGATCGTCAGCAGCCCTGCCAGACCCAGTGGGGAGGGGGCTGGAGACAAAGTGCCTTTCAGCAGGACACCATGCACAGCCTTTGTGTTCAGCGCCCACCGCTGGTGAAGCAGGTGGTGGGAGGTAAATCCCCCCGCCAAGAGGATTGAACTGATTTACCCTCCTCAGGGCTGGGCTTGTTGGCTCTCCTCTGCCTCTTCCAGCCCTCAGTCTGATGCTGGGAGGAAGCGCCCTCAGCCATGGTGGCTGAGTGTCTCGGGTGCCCGGGGGGCCTCTGCGGGCAGAGCATGGAAAATCCCAACTTCTGATCCCAGTCTCCGGCCGGATGTGGCAGCCTTCTGCCGTGGTAAATGCGCGGGGTCCTGGCACCTGGGGCCCGGGGCACAGATGCCGAGGGCACAGGGACACCGAGGAAGGAGCTGGGGACACGTACAGTCAGTCACGACTAATCTGACAGCTGCCAGCCATGGGCAGTTGGGCCCAGCTGTGCCTGGCACCCGGGGCCCGGCCCTCTCCTTTCTGGAAGTCTCGGAGCCCGAAGCCTGTCTCGCTTGTGTGCTGTTCAGACTGCACGTTTGCACGTTGGCAGAGGTGGCTGGGAACTTAGTGCAGGAGGAGGCGCACCTGAGCAGCCTCGGCTGGCTGACCTGAGTGGGCGGGCCTGGCCAGCGCCAGGGAATGGTTAGGCGGCCCGGCCAGAGGCTGAATTTAGTCCGGCTAAATGTTTCTGCACTTGAGATGATTTTTCGTGGTTCCTCATGACAGGATGGCTGAATCAGCAAATGAGAAAGTTTTCTCTTTTTAACCCTTACCTACCCTCGTGGCAGCTGGCAAGGAGGTCAAATGGCCTTTTAACGCCGCCTCCCACCCTGCCACTGCCCCTCGTGCGTGTGTGTCCAGGCGGAGCGTGAGGCGTCTCCCGCCGGTCTGCCGTCTGTGTGTGGTATGGGCTGGTGTTCCCATCGTGCCAGTCGTGGAAGCTTCCTTTGAAATACACTTTATGAAGCAGGAAAAGTGGAGGTCAATTTAAGAAGACAGCTGAGGTGTGTGCTGCAGTGGTGAAGCATCTGAAGATGCTTTTCAAATGACTAATGATCAGGAAAGGCTGCAGTGCTGTTTTGCCTGCAGTGGTTTTCCGTTATGTTGAAGTCAGGTCAGCAGCATTGGAATGGTGTCTGTGGTGCCAGGGCCATTACCAGCGACAGTCTGTGGCTTGTCTGTGTTCTTCCTCCTCTTGCTCATCCAGCAAACACAATTGGAGGGCCTGTGAGGTGCCTACGGCTGTGTGTGTTGTGGGCATAGCCGTGGTCTCCGTGATCCATCCAGTGGAGAGAGATGACAAAGACCAACCTGGGATTCAGACCGGACCCTGAGTCCATGCAGGGAGGCAGTGCCTGCAGCACTCAGAGACGATTCACCAGAGACAGAGCGGGGAGCAGAACAGGCAGATCGACGAAGCACACTGCTGAGGGGAGCAGCGGGCGGGTCAGGAGAGGTCTGCCGCGCCATGTGGCCAGAGTGGCTGCCGATAGCTTCATCGTTCTGAGACTTAACCTCTTGCACCACCAAGGAGGCCTTAATAGCAACTCCCAGTTCAGAAGAAATGCCAGTGTGGAAAATGCAGTTGGCTCTAAGTACTTAATCTGAGCTCATTTTAAATTTTTGAGTGACAGGTTCTTTATCGGACTTCTATACAATGTCTCTCTTTTCTGTCTGGGTTTCACTAATTGAACACTTTTGTTGTGAGTTGTGCGACGAGGCTGAATAAAGTATCACATAGCACCGTAAACTTTGTCTTATCTGTCTGTGAAATTCAGATAAATTAAATGGAATGGTAACAGGGCTGCTGTTAGGAAATGTTGATTGTCTCTGCGGAAACCATCCAGAGGATGCTTCTTTGGCTGGTATGTGCATAGAAAACACACACGCCTTTTTTTTAGTTTGCCTTTCATTTTCTTGATTAGCCCCTTTATGACCTTCCATTAGTGCGTAGGTTACGTACGACACGTTTTTTGCAATTTTGCAAATGAAACCTGTCCCTTGAAGAAGCTTCAGCCTGGCTGGCCCATCTTTCTGTTTGTTTTTGCAGCTGCTTCTCTGTGTCTTTCTGTTGTGCCCTCTTCCAGCGGGGCCACCGGGGTTGCCTGGTTCAGTTTCTCCCCTGATCTGTCACTTGGCTCCTTTCCTTGCAGAGCGCCAGAGCGTCCTTCCTGCCACATGCTTCCAGAGCCCAAGTACTCTCTTCCTCACCCTCTGGCTGGAGACTACAGAGACTGGGGCGGCTTGTGGCCCAGTGTCTGGCCTAGGAGGGCTGTAAAGCTTTCTGAGGCAGCATGTATGCTCATGATCCAGTGGCACCAGAGCCCGCCTGTCCCCCAGTGTCCAGACTTGAGAAGTGACAGCTGGTCTGCTCTGAATTAGAGTGGGAAAAGCCGGTGATAGATGCCTCAGAACACGGATCGTGTTACTTAGATGCTGGACACTTGCACCCACTGACTTTCATCTTAATGCTGTCTTAAAAGGTTTCTCTTTTATGTGTATTCATGGTAGAAAGTTTAGGGGGAAAAAAGAAGAAAAAGTTAAAGGCCAGGCCTTCATAAGCCCTAAAAAAAAATCCTCATTCCTTTTCGGGTGCATGTCCTGCCATTTCTTATACCTAGTTAGTCCTCGCTTCGTGTCGATAGGTTCTTGGCAACTGCAGTTTGAAGCTTCATGTCGACAGCTTAGGACAAAAGCAGGCCCTTGAATACCATTTTGTTCAGTCAGTGTTTTCTCGTCGTGACATCGTACGCGAGAGGCCTGCTGGACACAGGCCATTGCAGGTCCATG